TCTATCGAATAAGGGATATATGTGTGGGGCTCTATCCTATATATCACTGAGAAATAGAATCTCGCAATCTGATTGATCTATTTTTTGACCAATTCGATTTGGGGAGGTCTGTTCTTTCATATTATCGGGGCGATTTCGAATATAGCAGAACCTGAGCACCTAACGGTAGCCCCCCATAGTATGACTTGAGGACCCAAGAGTACTCCTCTATCGTTGGACGAGACGACCCAAGAGTACCTCCCAACAGTAGGACTTGAGGACCGAGGCTATGGGGTTGATGACGGTAGACACTCACCTTACCGTTCTTCCATTTCCGGGTAACTGGTAACGGAAAAGTTAACAGCTCCCGGGTAGCTAGTATCTGTTCCGTTACCCGGGAACGGTAACTTCCCACCCCTAGTCATGACTCGCCGCTCTTCGTGTTTCCTCTTTCCTCTTTCTCTCTCTATTGTTCTCCCTGTGTCGTCTCTCTCTCTCTCTTTGTTTCTCTATCATAGATAAGCTTGCGTTGAATGTAAAATGGACACATTCTGGAGATGTGAAGTAGCTAAATAAACATCATTGCCGACGGTAGCAGCTAGCTACTCCTCCAGACTATCATCGTATCTTCTTCTATTTATCGTTACATGTCGACCCTGGCTAACGGATCCGTGCAAATTCTGATTAAAAGTCGGATCTTGCCAGAACAAACAAAAACTCAACATCATTGGTCATCATTTGACAATACAATCCGAAAAAAGGACGGTAAAAAATACTAATTGAAGGAACGAAGGAGTTTAAAGATGAGAGTGGAAGGACATGGCAATGTCAAATGACTATAATACTGATGGTGTGCAGTATTAAGCAATGACTTGTCACAGAACATCAGTGGACATACTAAAGGACGGCTATGGTTCGAGCCGACTGTGCGAAGCCAATGCGCACTTTCCTTTTAACATCTGTAAGTTTCATGTCTCTTCTTCTCAAACCTTTCCACGCTTCTGAATTTCAATCATCTTTTCTTTAATCCGTTTCTGTTATAACAAGGGAATGTTGATGACATTGAACGCAATTGTCTATCGGCGGTAAACAATGAAGATTCATGTATAATCAACAGCTTGTTATTATATTTCATCACCATCTACATCCCACGCAACTCAACGTCTTGTTAGTTAACGATGTGACAATCAAAACATTGGAAGATGGGAAAGATTAACAAAAAAAAGGTAATCGATTATAGACTTAAATGACATAGAGAGATAAAGTGTGTTATTAAGATATTTTTCTCGACTTGCCTTGAGCCAGTGAAATTTTTAATGTAATGAAAGTGTTATGTTTCATTATATCAAATATGAAGCCTGAATTCTTTTTTCTTGCCTAACGAACCGTGAAAATAGAAGATAGAATAACTTTGATAATCTATTGTCTTTGATAGTCTGATAATCTGTGGTATGATGCATATATTTTTTCTCTCTGATATGTTTTTATGTATGCGTGTTGAGCTGATCTGATCTTAAACATAGAAAGAAACCGTTCTATGTATCGTTTGTCCACTAGACAAGAGTTTCTGTAGTCTATGAATTGAAGTATTTACCTTTCTATTAGTGACTAAAAATATACTGATCTTTGGTAACTGATTTCTGATAATACGTGTGTTATGAATTCTATATTTCTATACTGTTTCATTTCTGTGCGCTCTGTCAAAAAATGTTTTTGTATGATGATTGAAGCTGTGAAGAGCACTATTTGTATGCCGCGTTCGTGTTAATTAATGTTCTATTTATATTTGAAACGTGATGCGGAGTTTATGAGTTTGAAATAAGAAGACCACTTCTTCAAAAAGTTTGTTTCTCTTTTTTTTAACTGCTATGTTCTTGACTCGATGCTACAATATTGTAAAAACGTGTGTTAATGTGAGGTTATGTATGAAACTCGAAATTTTTGTTTTGTATATTACTTTGATTTCTAAGATTAAGTTCAAGGGATGAACTTGTTTTCATGTAATTTTTCTTTCATCCAAGTAATTTTTTTCGTTTCTTTTTTTTTTCTAAACTATAAAGACGCTCAGGAGCGCATCTCATTTGAATGGGAGGGTGTGTCGAGATATATGTCACAGCTAGCTGCTCTTCTTGTTTCCTCTTTCCTCTTCCTCTCTCTATTGATCTTCCTGTGTCGTTTCTCTCTCTTTGGTTCTCTATCATATATCAGCTTGTGTTGAATGTGACATAGACACATTCTGGAGATGCGAAGTAGCTAAATAAACATCATTGCCGAGGATAGTGACTGCTACTCCTCCAGTCTGTCATCCCATCTTCCTCTATTTATCGTTACAAATATGCATCAAACAACGGACGAATAAATGATAAAAATACTACTGTGACAGATATCATATCATCTACAGCTGTAAAGAGCATGCTAGGGCAATTTTTTGAGAAAAAGTAGTGTTAGAAGCATTTGAAGCATAAGCTACCAATCGATTTTCACTGATCCTTCAGAATATAACGACAGCTTTGGCTCAGACTATAGTTTTCTGATCATAATTGATTGAAGAGTAGTCAAAAATGATAACAATCAGTCTTTGGACCGGTGCTCCTAATGGATGGATGAAAAAAGGAAGAAAGGATAAATGTCGCAGAAAAATATCGAAAATAAAACATCGAAAGGAAAAATGTCGAATAGAAATTATCGAAAGTTAAAATATCTGAATAAGAAATAATGTTTATGAAGTTGTAACAAATTTTATTAAGTAAATGAAAAGCAAATATAAATTATAACGAGCATTTTGGGTGAATGTCACTTCACGGAGGATAATAGCGTCCAATTTTTAATTTGATATTTTAGCGACAGCGAAGAATAATCCTTCTAAAAGTTCATTACGAGTAACATCACCATTATCATAACGAATAGGTAAAGCAGCAATTGGCAATGTTGATAGATCAGTTAGTGCTGCTTTTTCATTCTGAATTTGTGGGATATATGTACTTTCATTTATCGCAAGCGTTTTTATAGCTTCTTTCAATATTCGAATTCGTATTTCTTCTAGTTAAGATGGATGACAATAATCATCTTTAATGTTTAAGATAACATCCTCAAGATCAGCATATACATTTACAGTACAATGTAGATCTAAGCATTAATAAGATTCTTTTGTACTCGTCTTATTCAATTTAAAGATGAAATTGTCTATGTTCAACATTTTTTTGCGTTTTTGAGAAATAGCGAATGAAATTGTATTAGAAATAGTGGTCATCATATCTAAAATACCGAGAGATCAATTCGTATATCTTTACCTAAGAGCCATTGCACGTAAGCCACGACCAACGTTGCTCAATCGGTTTCACCGATTTGGCTGATATTTTTACAGTAGATAGATCTAGTAAAGCT